TCACAAGTGTATTCTCTAATAAGATCATCTGCTGTGCATGTGGTGACTTTGACTGACAGGTCTGTTTACATCTGTCCACACGCTGCAAGCGGTTTATTGAACCATGCATTTATTAGGACGATTGCAATGCCTACCTATAACCATTATGTTTCATCTGGTTTGGTAGAAAAGCTTGAATAATAGTAAAATCAATCTAGCGTAAATACATACATATAACTACAATAAATGGATAATCTAGGATATAAATGTAATGTATATAAAGATTTGCTTTTCTTACCTGTATTCCTTATCACACACATTTATTTCATTTATTTTTCTGTACAATTATATGCATTTCTAATTTGGCATTTATCTGTTTGCTAAACAGTAGGAGCGTGCAACAGCTGCCTAATACATCTGAACGACATCTTAACAGCCCCAAACAGACTCTAAATGTTAAACACTCAACATTTAAATGGCCTTAGATCAGCTCAACTCCAAGCCCTAATGTCTAGAGCTATTGACCGGTTTAATGAGCTGGTGAGGAGAAGTAAAGAGGTTTTTGCCATTGTCTGTCAGTGAGCTGTCAACCCTTTCGCCCAACACATGAACTAGTCTGCGATCTGACAGTGTATCAAGAAGGAGCAGCAGTGCAGTTAGTGAGAGGAGTTTATTTAGCATTTTCTTAAACACCTGAAGACTCACAAAAGACTACACTGGGCATTATTCATTCAATACAAACTTGGGGGTGGTAAGACCAACGGAAGTGAGGTACCCAATCTGTGCCATTACTTCCTTAGTCCTACCAATCACTCAGGCACACACCATATTCTTACAAGGTGTGTGAAGTCAACAGAACTTGCAGCTGTCACAGGTGTACAGGTGTATTTTCCTGCCATCAAATAAAAAAATTCTATTATGGAAAGCATATTCCGGTATTTAGAGAAAATGTATCACATATGTAGATCATTATGGGTGGGAGATCAAATAAAAGATTTCCAAGCACTAGCTACAACAATGCAGAATAAAACTGTAAATGAGTTCATTTTGAGGGAAGGCGATGTTAACATGGTAAGCAGATAAATGATCAAAATATCTCACTTTCACATTTGCATGATTTGTGGTGGACTAAAAAGAGTATAACTACATAACTTATTAATTCAGTTTGTTGGGAAGAACCGAAGAGATGGGGTTTGTTACCGTAACCTTCAGTGGAGACAGACACTTTGCAGCGTGGAGGAGCGAGGGAGCAGTGGTGTGAAAGGCACCTCCAGAGGTTCGCATCGATCACTAGATCACATGGGGACACAGAAGAGGCTCAGCAATGCACCAAGCAAGAAAAGAGGCCATAGCCCTGCACCTGCAAAAAACACACACAAAACTTACAGTAGGTTCATCCTCAGGCAACCCTGCACTGAGGAACAAACTGGCTCATACAAAGTCACAAGTACACTCATGTTGGGTTTACATGCTTCTTGGGAAACTTACTTTGACTTACATTCATTTTCTGGAGATCAATCCTAACCTTAACCTTAGTTATCGTGGCGCAAACAATAAGGGCAGCAGGTCACCATGAATTGAGTGTATATACAGATCTAAGTCACCACAAAGTGATAAATACCCATCCAAATATACTGTGGTGTTTCTTTTACAAAATGACTGCCAAGTTCATTGATTGATCCATGTAAAATAAAACAAATTATTATTATGTGTTGTCCTAAGATTTTTTTTTTTTTACCTAATGGAGATCTTTCAAAGTAGACTGATACCTGTGGGTAAAATATGTGCTAGAAACATCTTTGTGAACTTGACTTGGTAAAAGGGTCATGTGCTTTTGGTGAGAGCGAGGTGAAACTTGTATGTGTTTGAGGGTCACTCCAAGGTTGTTCTTGTTTCCCTGGAGGCCACACACCTGGAGTGAAAAGAGCAACCCTCCCAAGGCAGTCGACTAACTAGCGGTTGCTATGAGACCGTTATTGTGTGTGTGTGTGTGTGCGTGTGTGTGTGTGCGTGTGTGTGTGTGCGTGTGTGTGCGTGTGTGTGTGTGTGTGTGTTGACAGAATGTCAGTCAATGTGTGTTCAAAGTCCCATCTGCTTGTTTAAAGAATATGTCATATGTTGAAAGTGACAGGTGTTCTATCTCTTGATGGCACACTGGCTTAGGAGCCCAAAATGGAGAAAAGCAAAACATTACTGAACTAAACTTTAGGGACAAAAGGAATGGGTAAAGACCATATTTAACACTGTTTGCTTCAATAAGATTACATAATCATGTTGCCATAAATATCACCGTGACTCATTTACAAGGACATATAAAAATTTGAATTTTGATTAAAATGGCATTTGGTTTAAAAGTAAGTTAAATAAGATCATATGGAATAAATTGTGTTTGTTATGACTACATTGATACTGATATAAACGATTGTGACTAAGCAGAGCATTAAGGGTTTGAATTTTCTTTATAGATCATGACATACTTTATAAGGATAACTTACTTGGTGGGGGTACCCATTTGCACCTCTGTATGGTTTTGGGACGTGGTATTTCTCAACACCTATGTACCTCTGTGAATTTTTTAAATCAAATGAGAAAGAACTAGATCATTTGAAGTGTGGATCCATGCAGTGACTGTCCATGAGGTACAATTCATGTTAATTTACTGAGGGGTTAATCTGAGCATTGGCAGTCCAAAATGTCAACACCATATTCTAATAGCCTGACTAAAAAAATACTTAAGTGAATGATGCCTGTCCAAAAGTATTGTAGTAGTAAGACCAGATTCAGACGGGGAATGTATTTTTGATGTCATTAGTTATGGTTTGAATGTTGGTAGATTACACATGAATGACAAATAAGGCTTAGGGACTCATTGTAGCGTTCATGTATTTCTTCAGTAATATATGTAATAGAATGACTCTTTATGGGTTGAAATTGCATCATCCTTTTGACAAATAGAGCAGGGGGAAAGAAGGGCACAAAGTTTCCCTTTTTTCTTGTGGGCAAGCAAGACCATTCCTGCACTCAGCCAAAACATGTAAAATCAGAATGGTGTAAGAACTGAAGTCAAGAGGGTCCTTTTTGAATGTGGTTCTCAAAAAAGCTTAACGATGTAAGATTTCTAAAATGTCCAAAATTTGCAAATTTCCATTTTCTAAAATAAAAAGCAAACTTTAATAGACCAGGATCTGTCTGAAGATTTAATCTTTGTCCATGTTTAAAATAAACATTTAGCTTAAAGAATATTACACTATTTTCTGATCTATGGTATAATGTTGTTTCCTCATCACAAACATACTGAGAGTTGTGTTGTTGTTTTTTTCATTCACACATGTTGAAACAAGATAGTTCAACTCTCTAATACTTTGGTCCACCTTGTGATGTCATGTAGTAGCCTAATGCAAGAAGTGCTCTACTGTGTATTTAAACTCCATATAACTTTACTAGAATCATTTGGATAATTTTAGCCTTTGGAATTTCCAATCTCTAAAAGGAGCTACCACTTCATGACATTACAAGCAGCAACAGAGAATTCTGAGCTTTGGAGATGTGGACAGACTAATAATAATGTGTCAAACATGTGTCAATGAAACAAAACACAACTCAGGTATGTTAACTCCAGGTATGTTTTTGAGGATATAGCAACATTATAGCATGACATAAAGCTCACCAGAGTCAATTTTGCATAATTTAACACCTTTACTCATGTCACATTTTACTGCAGGATGACGCTCTGATTCACTTTAAATTGCACACACCGGAGGCCAGCCCAATATGTACCACTGAAACATGGCCAATTTGTAATCTTCTTTAAGGTCATAGTCTAACAAACAGTCACATGTGCCATCCCCCATCAAAAGGCAAGTTACATAGCAGCAATGACTGTAAAGTGTGTGTGATACTCTATTGACCACTAACAAACATAATTCAGTCGTGCCCTGGATATGAAAGAAGGTCTTGAAGTGCAGAACCAAAAGAACAAAAATGCAGGTGAGGAAGGCCCTACAAGTAAGAATTGATTCTTGGCATATTTTATAGAGCAGTGACAATGTCCTGTGAAGTGCACGTCTGTTTAACCTCAATAGTTCCTGTCTACTGGTTCTTTTGACCAAAGGTGTGAATAATGTGTGCTTTGTTGCTGGTCATTCACCTCTGAAGTGTGAAATACACTGCATTAGTCCATTACCAAGTAATTATACACATCTGTGCAGAGATGGCAGGATCATAATGACCATTAAACATTTCATTTAATTACTTTTTTCCCCCTTTGGCCTACTTTCACATAGTCATTTAAGTCACGTTGCATGCAATATTGAATTGCACATTGACATAAAGTTGCACCCTCCTTTATGAAGGATGCAACTCCATAAATTAATTAAAGTGCTTTAGATTATCTTGTATTATGAATAGTTTTACCAATGCTTCAATAAGTTTTTTTTAATTAAGATAAAATATACCTTACCTTAAACATAACTTTCCTATGTAAAAGCAGTTACTGAAACACTGAAACTCACAAAACTCCAAAAATTTCAGCACCATGAACAGCGCACCACTCAGCGAACCTTTGGGGAAGTTCAGAGCCGGTGTAATCCCAGATAATCCTCTATTAATACTGGAACCATTGTGAAGCACAAGACAAAAACTAATGATATGCGATCGTGTCTTTCACACAGATAAATGACTGATAAATAAAGCAACAAAGGCCTGTATAAACACGTACGGAGATGCTAAAACATATGGGCTGTGTAAAGCAGAGCCAGCTGTGACTCCATGGCGCTACTCCAGTGTTATCTCCCATGTGGAGAGATCGTACAGTAGAGTGCTAGTGATGCCCCTCGCGTCTTCCGCTTTGCCTTGGTGTTAACGCTAGGGAATAGTTCACGGAACAGCAGAGGCGACCGCCCCGGACCAGGGCAGATAAAGCTCAGATAGTGATTGAACGCGATGGTGAAAGGATTTAGCCCGGGCATTATCTGTGAGGGAGTGAGAGAGGGAGGAAGGGGAGGAGAAGGAGGGAGGAGATATTTTCCATAAAGCATTTTTCTCTCTCTTTCTGCCCTTGAGCATCCCGGTAAACCCGAGCTTAAAGTGGCAAGGGGAGGAGGAGACGGGGCCAAAAAGGGCGGGCACAAGCCTTTCCAACAAAGTCAATATTTTATACTTTTTGATACTACTTGGCGCTGGATTTCAGTCCTCTTTTTCCTCCCACGGACCGTCTCCAGATCTAGGACAGTAATCAGCGGTGCGCAGCGAAGCGTGGCGCGAGGGAAAAGTATCCCGTGAACGGAAACAACAAACAGCAAGCCGGTGTCGGGTCGGAGAGTGGAGTTAGCCCAGGAGGGGGCATTGAAATTCAGAAGGGAAACCAGTGCAGGACCAGTGAAGTGTTGTACGGCTGGAGTTGAAAGAGGACTGGCTCAAAGTGCGGCGCTATCTCTCGGATGATCATTACAAGTAAGTGCCTTATCTGATACGCATCAGTACACAAAGGGGAAATCCTGGAGCAGTTTGGAGGCTGTAAAAGAGTTATGTTGTAATCGGTAACATTTATGGCAAGTTAAAGAAGTTTATGATGCAATTATGAAGTGATAATACGTTTTTGCCGAAGAACAGTCTGTATAGTTTGGGCTAGGCTCCGTGCGGGATGCGCAACTGTAGTAGGCTATAGACACACCCCTAGCAGAGTCAGGAAATAGCTGTCGCTACTCGGAAACTGAACTCAGCTTCACGGCCTTGGTTGGGACAGGATGCACAAGTGCACAAGGTCTGAACTTGGAAGACATGCGCAGGAATAAAAAGTTGAGGCAAAGTGTTGCCGTGGAGACATGGTGTCAGATTATTTTAGACAACGCTGTTTTGATTTTTGTTGTCATTAAAAAAAAATGACACCATGATTGTCTCAGTAAATATCCATGTATATTACCTGAACCACACTTAGCCACATTCAACTAGAAAAAAGTTGTTGTTTTTCAGCATTGTCGGAGCATTTTATTCAGTCATTTATACAACAGACACAGAAGGTGTTGCGAAAAAATATTTTGTCCCGTAATCTGGCCTATGTGAATTTTGATTAAGAATTTGTATTTCTGTAGCCAGTAAATGTTGTCATAGAGGGAAAAATAAAATAAAGCGCTTTCAGTGTTCATCGCCTAACTTTTTCATCTTGTGCGTCCTCATTTTGCCCCAGGACAATCGGCGGTGCAGCAGAACTATCCAATGGATGCTTACAAAGACCCAATCAAGACTCCTGTCCGCACATGCAGCTGCACTGTTCTCCTTCAAGAGCCCTCTCTCTAGTAAACCGCGGTCACCTCTGCAACATGGTCAAAGTGCATGCCCAGCTCAACGCGTGTAACTCAAGCCGGCGCTCTTTCTGCTCAGGAAATAAGAAAAGTACCCTGGCGCTGATCCTTGGGGACTTGCACTATCTGTGACACTGAGCGGAGAGAGCCATTCAGTAGATTTGGGATTTATCGCCTCACCTTCCACATTCAAATGCAGCATGCAACATGATAAAAGGAGCTATTTCCTTTTGCCTCTGAGCCCCACTCCATGCCCGTCTCCACTCCCAGCCCTGTGAGTCTGCTGCCCCGCCACATTGTCCCCCTTGTGCCCCTCGTGCCCCCTGGTCCCTGCCATGTCCCTACAGGTCGCGCTGCTGCTCCTACTGCGATGCTTGGCCTCAACTTTGGCCCAGTACGAACTGTGTAAGTCCCTGGTGAGCACGGACGAAGGCTCGGTGTGGGAACATTACGCGTGTCAGCCTAAACCTGCATCCATGAAAGACTACATGCGCATCAAAGTTGACCCGCCCGGAATCACATGTGGCAATCCGCCTGAGCGCTTCTGTACACTGGTGAGTTCAACAAGACTCAACTTTTTAGGTTGTTGTAGCCCATAGAGATGTTAGCTTATAGGCCTGTAGCTTTGCAACATAAATGAACAAAAACGAGGGAAAAAATTGGTTTAGAAAGTGTCATAACAAGAATCTATAGTAAATCGGCTAAATGATTAATTTTATTGCCTGAATTATTGATTTGGGTATAGCCTACTGAAATAACCTGTATTTCATTATTTATCAAAATAATAATGTATTATTATTATTATTATTATTATTATTAGTAGTAGTAGTAGTAGTAGTAGTAGTAGTAGTATTAATGATAATAATACAACTACAATTAAATTCTTTAATATTTTATTCAAATACAAAACAAAAAACACTGACATGTGGATTATATGAATAAGTAAGAGATAAATGTTTCATTTTATATTCAAGTGTTTTACAAAACAATATGTAGCATAGGCAAATGGTCAGCGGATGCCGCTCTCTGAAGTGGGAATTTTACCTTGGCAGGTCTAAAGGTGTTATTTACATTAATATGAACTTGGCAGCCCGTGATTCTATTCAAATCTGACCTTCTGGAACATCTCACATTTCCTAAGGTAAAATGCATTTAGCGAGACCTTTTTAGTTTCAAGGACAGCACAGTGGGAACAACGCATGCTCTGGGGGGTCTCGTTAAAATGTCTGCAACAGCAGTATTTAACACACTTTCCAGCCTCCGGCGACCCATCCCATAATGTGAGGATAATAATTAGACATCAGGGTTATGGAATTGTTGCAATTCTCTTTTACATTTTAAGAAAAAGTTAGTCATTTGTCAAGAGTCATTTGGTAAAAACAAGCTTGGTGCTCTGAATGATGCATATGTATATTCTGACTGGTATTGAAGGTGGCAGACGTGTCTCAATCACCATTAGTCAAGTCTCCCAAACTTCCTCCGACAGAGACACAGTCCAGCTCCGCTCTAGTTTACTCAACCTAATCTCATCCTATTATGGCACGCTGCAGTTAATGGGATCTTAGTTTTGCCTGCGACCACACCATTTGTAACCTTAAGACAGTCTGCACAAACAACCATAATCAGATTCACACAGGCTTCTACTTTTTACCCAGTCTAATAACAACACCCGGGGTCACTAGGCAGCAGCAGGAAAGAACACTGTGCTTCGTAGATACCTAATGGTTAATGATTTGTTTAATGTAGAAATAGCGGAAACCACTGTTGACTTAAGAGAGCCTCTCCAATGACTCCTCTTGAGGAGAGAGTCAGTGGAAGTGCACAGAGATGCTGACTGCCATAACGTATTGACGTCTGCCCCCTAATGGCCTTAGCCTGGAAACTTCTATAACTATGTTTCTAAGTGAGCAATGATCAAATATTGATGGGATCTTTAATGGGCTTCCTTACAAGGGTTTGACCAGTGACGCTCCAAGTGAGCAGTGTGTTGTAGGAAGATGGAAGAGGGCAGGACAGGAAGGAGGCCAGTCTTATTCAGCACTTTTCTGACAGACAGAAAGCGTTAGTGGAAACTTCTAGTTCCTTTTAAGCCATCTGTGGCTCTTAAAATCAATGCAGGTACTGTAATATGTTTTGTCAGCGTTTATCATCCCTTTAAAATGTCTGCTGCGTACAAAAAGTTTCCTAAAGTAATCTAATTGCTCCCTGCATTACTCCGAGACCAACAGAGTAGTTCAAAAGAGACATTATTGATATTTTTTATTTGTTTGTTTGTTTTATTTTATTTTATTTTTTGTTTTATTTTTTTGCCCACAAGGTGGGAAAATCATATTTCTGTTTAATTGGTATAGTTTATTTTCAGTTATTTTGAATTCCAATGAGTCAAAGCAAGCACTGAAAGAAACAGAAATGTGGAGTTTCAGCCTATTTGGACTTACTTCATAGTGAAGTTAAGACACACTGTATATGTTTCAGCATACAAACACTGATGCAGAGTGGTTTAGGTCTCTGTCTCCATAGGGACATTTGTTCTACTCTATTTCTCTCTAGCTCAGTTGGAATGCAGCAGTCCTGAGCAAGCACCACTCAGATTCCAATGTCACTGCTCCTGAGTTTGAGACTTCTGTAGTTCCTTTGTAGTTGTCTCTGTATCATACCGCTCCACAGCCATTGCCTTCAGTTGGGAATGATGGAGTACACTGTATTTTAAAGGAGGGGGCTGCACCGGGGCATAGCTAATGATGAGGGAGCGATGCAGAAGATCCAAGCTTAGCTAAGCAAAAAGATAACATCACTTTTTTCAGTAGCGCTCACATTGTCAAAATTCAAAATGCAGCACAGAAATAGTGTGATGGTCTGTTGTTTGTTATTTTCACTTTTTTGGGCTTGAACCCAAACCCTCAATCAGGCAGCTCTCATGGGACGAGATCAGACAGCAGCAGCATGCAAATGAATGAGGGGGAATGTAAACCAAGTAGTGGTGCTGCGTGCTGGAGATGGGACTGTTGGACTATTGTATATCTAAGAAACAGAAAACACACCTTCCGCTCACAACGCATCCGCCTGTTTTAGAAGGTAGAATGAGCCAGCTCTAAAAATAGACATGAGAAGAGATAGAGCGCAGCAGCGGAAGGGGAGCATGCAGGAAGGGGAGGAATGTGGCTGCTTCTGTAGCCAGGATGAGAGCCTCTAGACTGGCTCCGGCCCCGTACCCTCATGCAAAACTGTGCCAGCATTGACCAGTGCCCTGCCTCACAGTGACCACCAGGGGTACAGCCAAAAGTGTCCCCTCTCATGGGTTACAGAATCAAAGCAGTTTGTTAATGTTCTAAAATACATCCTCAAAGGTGAGTTTGAGTACAGGATTAACAAGTCTGACAGCAGAGTATAATTAACAGAAGGAGCAGAGAGGCAAAGACAGATAAAGAGTCCGACTGAGACAGCAGTGGAGCAGCCGAAAGGGAAAGCGATGATGTAATGGTGTGGCTCACAGCCCTATTAGGACACAGTTGAAAGTGATCAGAGAGTGTTTAGATGTGTTGGCAGATCATGGGGATAGCTATAAGTGAGATTTATCCTTGGCTGAGGTGAGACTAAGAGGGATTGGCTGTAGGGGCTTAAACAGCTCGAGGTGAACTTTGTGTCTGGTGTCCACAATATAGGCCCAGGGTGACCAAGTGTGCATACATTATTATTTATACAATCTTTTACAGTGTGGAACAAAAGTACAAGAGAGAAGTTATATTCTTTCATCTGTGCTCAGCTCCAACCGCATCCAATTAAAATCAACAAATATTGGCACAGTATATACAAACGTGACAACACAAAACAATATTCATTCAGAAGATTTCATTCGCATAGATTTACACATAGAACACATTTCGAATCTCCCATTACTCTTATGAAGATGTCCTTTACTTAGAATGGCAGATCATAATTTCATATAATCAAATTTAAATCTTGTAATTCTATACATGTACCTCCGCTCAGCCTCACACGAACAAGAGCTTCAAATGTCCAGTTATAGCTACAGTCTCAGCCAGTAGGATGAAACAGGAAAAGCTCACAAAAATAAAAGATTATTGTCATAAGTGAAAAAGCAATATCCTTTTCTGGTCCCCTTTGTGGCCTTTTTAATGGGAGGGTCATTTCATTTGATGTTTCCCCCAAACAAAATAAATTGCGTTCCGTGTGTGCTCCTTCCTTTATTCCCCTTGCTAGCAATATAACCTAGAAACTTCTATATGTGGAGAGAAATGAGAGGTGAGCCAGAGCAGGACAACTGGAAATATTTGGGGGACACAGATAGTATAGTTATAGGTGTGACTGCAACTTAATATTATTTTAGTAGTTGACTATAGGAAGCATTCTTATGTCTTGTAGGCAACTAGTCAAGTTATTGTTTTTATTGTACATTAACACAAATATGGTAACTGAAGGCTTCTAGATAGAGAACTATATCAGTGATCTGAATTTGAAGTTTTTTCTTTCCTGGCACAGAGAATCAATAATGCAGCTGTCTTTTATTATAAAAGACCTTTTGTCACATGCCTGAATAGTCCAAGTAACTATAATGATTATTAAAACACAAGTACAATTATTATTATTATTATTATTATTATTATTATTATTATTATTATTATTATTAATAACACATAATAAACTGAACTGTTCATGTTACTTATTTGTATATTTTTAATTCAAAGTAATTGACCATGTATTATTATTATTTTTAATACTCCTGACCTGTTCTATATTTTATAACTTAAAGTGATGGTGGGAAGGTGCACACTCAATTTGAGCTTTCAGAATAAAGACTAAAACGTTAAATCTTCCATTATTTTATTATTTAATTTGTATTATTTTTGGTTTATTCTATTTTTTCACCACATTCTCTGTAATTAAAAAGTCATGGATTGGGCACAGTGCTATTCTTTAATTGACCAGCATTAGGTGAAAGTAGTCACTATGCATGCTGAGTTAAGTACAGTTTGTCTTTGTGGCCTTGGCATGAGGCACTCACTCAACGTCTTATTACACACATTGTTATCCCTCAAATGAAAACAAGGGAGTCACTTTTGGTTGGGGCATCATGGAGGCTGTTGTCGTGGAGACAGGATCCCAGCAAGGATAATTGCTGGAGGGGCTTAGCAGCGCGGGCCACCTGCCGCAGCAGTTGGCCGGGATTTGTATCTGTGTGTGTGAGTGTGTGTGTGTGTGTGTCTATGTGTGTGTGTAAAAGCATGTGTGTGTCCTGGCTGAGATACTAGGCCAGGACAGAGCAGGGGCAGGAGGCAGAGCTGAATAAGGAGGACATGGCGCACAAAAGGCTTAAACATAACCCCATGTGTAAGACTCTTGTGGTGGATCAAAGCTCTCTACGATATGTTATTACATCTCACAGGACACTGCATATTTGGCTGGTATTTCGATATTAAACTAAAATGCACTTAAACTTAGGTTCTTATATTAACAGAAAACAAGTGATACTAAGTAGGAAAAAAATCATAGCCATAAATCATTCCTAATCTAGGGATATGTAAGAAAGTGCTGCCAACAGTAAAACGCCAACTCAATATGCACATCACTGCTATTCCAAGTATTGTCCAAAGAGAATTTAAATTAACTTAAATAATATAATATATGTTAGACTGTGAAATATATTATTAAGAAATAAATACTTTATCAAGATTCATGGCAGGAAGCGAACAAAACTAAGAAGCCAAAAAAATCTCTTGACAATTGCTAAAAGAATACCAAAAGAGACCTTTGACAGTGCACCAAATCATTCACTTTTGAAAAATGATGAAAAGATGCTATTACATTTAGTCTTGCATCTTAAAATAGTTTACCGAAAATATACAAGAGTTGACATATTAAAGGAAAGTGTTGACATTGCAGTCAATAGGGTTATGGGTCTAAGGTCACCTCCAGAACAAGTGTTAATCTCTCCCCATGTTACACTGATGGAAACATGTACAGTTCAGTTTAATATCTCATAGACTTCCACTACTACCTTGGTCTATTACCTTCTAATTATCATGTGCATTGGCCGCCTTGTTTGAGATTATCTTCCTAAGTGTGTTTGTGTTGCGACTGTCTTGTCGAAATCAGCGTGCAGGAGATAATTAGGTTATCACATAAAGCACAAGGCTGCTGTGTCATTTCCTAGTGTAAAATACAAATTATCTGCATGTTTTAGACATACTACAATTTCACTGCTGTCTTCACATGCGCTATGATTCTCGATATTACATACATACTTCCATACAGCTATCCTCAGCACCAACTCACAGTTTGCTTATGTGTGGAGTTTTCCCCCATTCTAGTGTCACCATAAATCAGATGATTTATAATGGCGTCCTCACAGGATTGTAACTTCTGCTTTTGTTATTAGCCCACTAGAGTGGCTTTGAGTGACTGCTCATTTTCTACACGCTATAGTCCAGTGACTCTATTCATGCGGCTCAACTGTTGGAATATGCTTTTGGCCCAATGAGGAAATATGTTGTTGCCTGTAAAGGGTAAGGATGCATTTATATCATGCAGCTTAGATCACTTAAAAGAAAAATCTTTTGAGAGAGGATACACTTTAATTGGTTAATTGTGTTTACATGAGCTGTTCATTTGCCTATAAATCTTTGACTAAAATATGATGTTTTTTGGAGATTTTCTTTTTTTTAAATAAAACGTATAACAATATATATACTTAATACAGTTAATACAGTACTATGAGGAATTTGTGCAATATATGTTTGCCTTTTGCATACAAATCATGTGAGTAAAAAAAATACTTTTTTTTTTTTTTTAAATATATAACAAAACCTATCCCAGATAAATTACAGACAGTGACGTGAATGCATGCATGAAAAGCCACATCTGTTTTTAAATTTGCCAAGAACAACATGTCCACTATGGTGTGTGCAGTAGTCTTTGAAGAGTAAATAATTCTGTTGACTTCTCTCCCCCAAAGACTAAAGGAGGAGAGACTTGAAAGTCTTGGCATCGCTAGAACAGCGGGATCAATTCTCCAAAGTTAAAAGTGCAGCTCTCTGCTGTCTATGCAAAGAGAGTGATGATGCACAATCCTCTTGACCTTCACACTTCCTGTTATGTTGTTCTGCAAGTTTACTTTTAAGCTCTGGTATAGCCCTCAGTGGACAGAGCCTGCACTGTTAAGACATGCCTCATTAACACAAGCACCATTGTAAAGTTAAATAGAATACAGACACAGAAATTATTCACTTATTTCTTTATTTGTAAAGGGACAGCACATGTAAATTAACATTTTAAAATGTAAATATGTAAAGATTATAGCCTACGTGGCTAATATCCATCTTCAGTCCCTCAGCAGGTTGATGTTAAATAATTTACAGGACTGGAAAAAGTACAGCAACAATCACACAAAAGTACATAACACCCACTCACTATACATACAATTAATGACAATTGGTGACATATTTGACCATTAAACCATCACTGTTTTAAAACTTTAGAAAATGCTGCCTGTGTTGAAAGCTTTTGTATACGAGCAGGCAAATGTGTTTCATGTTTGATCTGCTCAATAAGCAAAAGAGAGCTGTCCAAAAATACATTTCTTAAATGGCACAGAGCAGTCATCTCTAGAGCCTTGTATGATTTGAATTTCTCACATTTGTATGTTTCTCTCATTGTAGGAGAACCCATACTTGTGCAGTGATGAGTGTGACGCATCAAACCCAGATCTGGCTCACCCTCCTCAGCTGATGCAGGACCGTGAGCGAAATGGTCTCATTACATACTGGCAGACCGTTACATGGAGGCGTCACCCCGAGCCCTTGCTGGCTAACATCACCCTGTCATGGAACAAGAGCCTGGAGCTCACTGATGACCTGCACATCACCTTTGAGTACGGCCGGCCCACAGTCATGGTCCTGGATAAGTCCATGGACCACGGCCGCTCATGGCAGCCCTACCAGTATTATGCCGACGACTGCCTGGATGCCTTCAACATGCAGCCAAAACGAGTGCGAGACCTCAGCCCCACCAATATCACCAGAGTCATCTGCACAGAGCAGTATTCACGCTGGGTCGGCTCCAAGAATGAGAAGAACGTTAAATTCGAAGTGCGGGCACGGTTTGCTGTGTTCGCTGGGCCCCGACTACAACAAATGGACAACCTGTACACACGCATGGAGAGTATGAAGGGACTGAGGGACTTCTTCACCTTCACCAACCTGAGGCTGAGGCTCCTCAGGCCAGCCCTCGGAGGCACCTATGTCCAGAGAGACAACCTGCTCAAATACTTCTACGCCATCTCCAACATCGATGTCCCTGCCAGGTCAGAGATATGCACAAACATGTTATTATGTCTTCAATGCACAGATCTATAGGAGTTTTTATTTTGTACAAAATAAATCCACATCTTTTTTAGAAAAAACTAATAACTAAATCTGTAAAGCTTATACATATCTACGATATCAAATTTGGAGGTTGACACTGAAGAGCATATTTTAGCATTATAATGATATTTTGTGACATTTTTCTTGCGTTCTAAAAAGGCATCTGTGACCTGCTTCTCAGGCTCCAGATAGAAGGGACATAAATGACCTGTGGGTCTTTTTAAAGAGTATTGTTTTAATTACTCTTTAGCGCCAGTGAATCTGAGATTGCCTGTCAGAGGAAAGGGCACATAATTTTATTAACACAGAGAAATGTCCAGTAAAAACATGATAAAATAGCGTAAATGATGGTGCTACACATGACCTGACCACTAAATTATCAACACCAAAACACATCATCAGATGATCGTGACAGATAGAGAAAAGAAGCAGGTGACAGACAGGCCCGCTATGCTTGCCCAGGCAGTGTGATCCGAGGGCGCTGCGATGACCCTGTCTCTACCAGCATGGATCCTCACGGGCCAATGATTAATGACAGAAACATAAGGCCTCAGTGGTCCAACGTAAGCCGCCGCTGTGCTCTCTCTGCCAGGGGAGCCGGAAAGCCTTACATGGCAACTTTGTGACAGTGAAGGATGCTCCAGGGCATCACACGCCTGCTTAGCATCAACAAGCCATCTCTCCCACCTCTCAGAATTATTATTCCAATCGATACGGCTGGCTGACATTTCAGTGGTATTTAACATGCTTGTTGGGATGGCCCAGAATGGAAGGATGGACTGACGAGTGTGTATGGACAAGGCCATGGGTGAAAAGGGGGGGAAATGAGGGAGCACTGGAGATGATAGCACAGGCTAGAGCGAGAGGTATGTGTTTGATGAAGTCCTGAGTGAACGCTGACACAGCACACACACAAACAAACATCCCTGCGGAGCTGTGTGAAAAGAGCCTGCAGGTATTGATCACAGTCACTTTTCAGGCTCAGCACAGAATCACAGAGAGGGCATCCAACAGTACCCAGGTCCACCATACAGCACTTCAATAGATACAGATTTATATTAGCTGTTCAGCATCACCAGGCAAGCTTTAATATGGACTCTATAGTAAATATTCTTAGATATATAGACTAGATAATTAATTTTGCTACAACCTATGAAATAACAACCAGTTAACAAGGTTTTAATTCAGCATATTTTACTGCACTAGAGAAGCATGGCCTTCATTTGAACTAGCTTTTTATTTCTTTGTAATTCAATGGCATCTCCAAACAAGTCAGGCTGAAGAGAAAACTTTTTATTATTTTCACATGTGTTAATTACACCAGAAGCACCAGAAGGTTGCTGTAATTCAGGCAGCCGTTGCCCTATTTGTCTAAAGGTCCTTGATCACAATGCAGTTAATTTGCCAGTGCCTTTCATTTTGATTTTATTTAGCAATTCTTTGTGCAGTTATTTGAGTAATAAGTGTGGCAACAATTTTCGGTGGCCTAAAACTCAATTCTTTTTATCGTTATTATTTTTTTGTATTCTTGTGTTGACCTCTTTGGTTATGTCCATCATTTGGTTCTCACATTTATCACTAATTTGCACCTATCACCACAGAGGTGTAGGCCGATGACAGGGGGCTACTGGTGTCAGAATGTGCTGGATCTAGTAACAGCTGATCCAAATTTAGCCCAGAGAAGATGACTGAGGCCAGTATGTCTTCCGCCCCAACCACCCACACCTACCGTAACATAATCACTAATCAATACGTTATTCTGGGCGGCCAGCAGGAGTATTAGGTGATACCAGCTGGGGGTCCTCAACATACAGTACAATAAAGAGGGTCTGATGCTTACGCTTAGGGAATTGATTTTTTGGGTGCAGGACGATTAGTCAATGTTCCCTGGCCAAAAGGCTAAGCTATTTCATCTCATCTTGTCTGGCCTCAGAAGCATATTGGGATTTGCAATGCTTAAAATCTGAATAATGAATATTCCACTCTTCTGGTGTCTGGGCAACTCCTCTTCAGTGGATTGGGATTTATATGAACAAGTACTGGTCACTATTGTAATCAGATATGCTGGTGATATTGATGGACACAGGACTAAGTCACTTCCTCCCCATATTGTATGTCTACTATTCTGTAGCTTAAGTCCTGTGAATGACTGCTACCAAATTTTCAAATTAATTTATTTTAATTTAGCAAAAGGTCTCCAATGGTCCTTGAATCAAACAGGATTCTTATTACTTACCTCTGTGCCCTTAGAACCAAACCATTGAGAGGAGTGGTTAAGTATTTAAGGTGACCCTTCATAGTCAGGGTGGTGGTGCTCTAAAAAGATACGGATAGCTAACTATGTTGTTACACAGTCCTATAGAGTATTATGTTTTTTTACAGCCAGTTGGTCAATTTCCATCTGTGCGTGCAATGAAAAAGTGCTGTCTGTCAACAACAGGGGACAATGAGAGGAAAAGGTGTAATTCAATCAGAAAAGCAAAGGCGCCAAAAATCTGACAGTAAAAAGGCAGAGTTCTTAGCCCTAGAGTCAATGAGCAGCTAATGCAAGATTTGGCATACATTTAGAGGAAAAGTTGTACCAAGTTTAACTGTTATATGCTACCACAACTATAATATCAACTCAAAGGCAAGTCCTGAAAGCCCGGCGCTCGAGGCTCATTTTACAGGCTGTAGTCACCTTTTAGATTCAGAGAACTGAAAGCCATCTCCTCTATCAAAGACATAGCAGTGCTGCCTCAGCTGTGTCATCATTTAGATCAGTAAAATCACATTGACTGGAGAGCTCCACTTCTAATCGGTGCATTTAGATTCGTATATGGCCCCCATCTTATCCTCTGTGTCTGCACCATACCATCTATCAGGGCCATTGTTGAAGTGCACAGTGAACCTTAGCAGCCCCATGGTTATAGATAAGACAGGGGGTCACGGGTTGGGCCTTTTTAATGAAATAAGCAGCAGGTCGTATGCTCACTCTTCATAATAGAATAAAAGGAAGGCAGTAAGCTCAGGAAAAGCTAAGTAAGTGGATTAGGCTCAAAGCTCAGGCAAGGAGATGGGGCAGGACGAGATCTGCATCATATTTCTCTTATCAGTGGTAAGCGCTCCGTCCAACTTCTCCATCTGATCTGATTGCTTGATGGAAGAAGAATGACATTTAAAAGTAGCCAAGTATGCAGTTTCAGCATCAATTCACAGATACTGCGGTCAGCGGGGGCAAAGAAAAGTCACTCATAAGTTTGTGAATTAAAATCAATATATCAGTTTCATTACTGTTAGAAACACTTAGCACAAATTATATCTATATGTCAACACCATTTGGTTATCTGGCATTAGATGATCCAGATAAATAGTATTTGCACCAGCCTGTTAGCCGTAATTACACATGATAAGCCTGGTCTTGTTCAAGGCCTAGACTCTCTCCATCAACTAATTACTTTCCAGTTGTGAAAATGAGTTCACATGAGGCTGCTGCAAAACAGGCCAGTAGCTTGTAAATGAAATGCATTGAGTTTCTTCAGTCATGTTGTTTGACTCATCTATCTCCTTCTATCTGTGTGTGTGCTCCTCTGTGCTGTCCTGCCCCCCACTGACCCAGCTAATGTGTGCACTGCTTGTGCCCTCTTTTCACATACTACAACACAGACACTTTCAAATCAAACTAAACATACAGATTTTATTTTAAAGCAACAACCCTTTTTATTAAAGATGCTATGTAACTTTGTAGAGATGTTATTGCTTTTCCTGGAATATTCCACAGTATGGCAATAAACCTATCGATAACATCTCCATGGAGTACAGGTGGCAGACTCCATGAAATGTTACACAGTGCAGCTTTACAGATTCCTTTATTTGAATATTTAACAACATTTTAAAAGCTACATTGCTGATGAATTACATTGAGTATGAGTATAGTGCTAGTCTAATGCTTTTCAACATTCCCTAACAATCTACTTATTACCTGCAAATGGTAACCTGCTGTGACCCTGATTTGTACTTTTCCAGAGTGACCGCAGTCAGAAGGCAGTGCTAATGAGCCTAAATGACAATGTCTATATGAGGGTTTAGTGTACATGTTGTTGTAGCGGAGTCATAAATGAACATGACAGGTCTCAAGAAACCGTTAATTCTCTCCACAGATTGCAGTCTCCAGTCTTTTTGCTGCCTCTGTGAATTTGACTTTGCTAACTGTCACCACAGTTTTTTGAAATAATGCCAACTTTTTATATTATTTGTCCTTTGCAGAGTGAAGGTGAGTGGATGGAAGGTGTGAGAGCAGGGAGGAGAGAGTGAGGGGAGAGAAAAGGAAGGCAGATGATGGATTAACTTGTAGTTCCATGGGACTAGCTAGGGTGTGTGATTTTGTGATGAATGATGTGAGGTGTGATGCTCGGTAAATATTATTCTGCAGTTCACACACCCACCACAGTCATCTTTACACCTTCCCTTAATATATATATTTTTTGTTTGTTTTACCCTCGCTCACAAATGTCTGGATAAAGTACTCCTCATGAATGAAAAATGCGATATTTACTTCATGTGAGGAAATCCAGACTTCGTTTTTGTGGCCCCTCCCTCTTTTTCTGTGGCTCCTCCCATTTTGAGCCATCTTCCTCTGAGGCAGCTGGAAACAGATCACTTTTTAAATCATTCATGAGCACTGCTTAGAAAAGAAAGGCATGCAGAAAGCAGAGGGGCCTCAATGAGGGAAGTGTCATTGTCCTCTCATATGCAATGATTTATGGCATGATGGTTGTAACTGATTTGATAATCACAGTTTATTTCCCCTCAGAAGGTGGAATGTTACAGTCAGCAGTTCCACCTTCATTCTCACTCTTTTGTTTCACTGATCTTTTTTTCCTCACCGCTCTTCCACTAATAGATTTTTCTTTCTTTTTACCTTCCAACCCTTGAGCCCATATCCTTTTAAATTTCCAAA